GCAAATTTCGGTTGCTTGTGGCATTTTGTTTAAGTGAGCAAAATTTCAAGGTCATGAACATTACCGATCTGCGTTCTTCGTACGGGGTGATTTGTTTGAGTGAGCGAGCCCCCAAGGTCTACAGGCACATCAAACTGGAAACAATGCTCACTAGAAGTAAACCGAAATCATTCTAGGTGAAATAAGGGTTTCTCGAAGTTGTGACTTCTACGAGGAATCTGTCTAACCCTTTTGCAAATTTCGGTTGCTTGTGGCATTTTGTTTAAGTGAGCAAAATTTCAAGGTCATGAACATTCACCGATCTGCATTTCATAACCGGTTTAAGAGATAAAGCACGAACTCAACATTTTGCATATTATGTAATTCCGTGGTACTCTTTATGGGTGAGATAGCGTTTACAAAACACCCTTTGCAAGTGCCACCCAGAAAATAGTGAGTTGGCGTTGGCGTGCGTAAAACCCTTCAAACACAACAAACTAAATGATATTTTCAGTCGCAGTTTTTGGGAAGTCCGTGTCTCGTGCAATATTGATTCTAGTGTGCACCTATGTGGATGATTTTCATTCTCCAACATGCATAATTGGTTGGTGGATTGTGCAGCGTTATGAGATAACTGCGGATGAATGGGCAACACAGTGATGTCTTTCCTATTATAAATGATCGCGCTCTTTAGTTAGAGTATATCATCAAACCCAACTAAATCGACGGAAAATAAGGCCGAACATTGCCAGCCCTCATGGCAACAGCACGCTCTGTCGCCTAAATTAGCTAATTATTCAAACTGTCAGCTCCGTGTTTGATGTGATGCTGATTATGAGACCTCAGCTATGCACTGTAACCTAACTCGATGTCCAACGATTGCCCGTCATGCTCATAACGGTAGGTGATGCTTTTCAAGCTTGTAAATACAACATCTTTTGGGGAGTTGTGCTCATATCCATTGAAGGCGCCGGTACAAACGTACTGGGCATTTGCTTCAGTTCTCGTATCCGGCAGACCACTTCCACCAGACAGGAAGTCCGAAAGGAAAGTCTAATAGTCAATTAGTTATCGTGGGCAACCTTGGTACCAGAATCGAAACATTATAATTTAACGAAGTGTGGCGTGCCAGCTTTCCAAGTGTTCTATACTTCTCATGGTCAAAAATGAGCAATCAATATCCATTCTGTGGGCAGGTCCAAATTCGGTGATTAATTATTGATCACCGGCAAAGTTGAAGCTAAAACGAGATACGCATAGAGCTGCCATCTTTGCGGTCTTAGCTTGTGGATAAGATTTGCATGTATAGCACCAAATGAAACTTCGGAATAATTACGGCTACTTGTTCGAATTCGGCTCTGAATAGGAAGTCGACCTAGGTTACGCATATCTGATTATTTAACTTACCGCAGAGGAACGAGTGGCTTCTGAAGGCCGAAAATAGGTGCCCGCATGGTACCAAATATTTTGATAAAGGATGGATGTGCAGGTAGCAGCTGAGTTGTTAACCGTTTGATAACATTTTAGGGCTTGTACCAAAAACTAGCTGTTGCCAACAACGGGTTTTTCACATTAAAGCTATCTACCTAATGGAACATCAGGTTTGGCGTGCCCGCGCCAATGCGCCCAAGAGCTTAATTGGCAGCATAAGTCATCATCCCAGAAAACACGCGGCGAACGTGGCTGTCTCAACCGCCAATTTCTCGGCGGTCACAGTAATTAGTGTTGTGCATCCCATACTCGCGTATGAGCCATTCGCTGTGCTGAGGGACCTTCTGTATGGCTTGCTCCAGGCTATCGGCGTGAGCACATGCCTATTCAAACGCCCGTTGGCGTTCGCTAGGTGATTGTTGGTCACATTCTTAAAATGTACAAACCCACGGTGTGCATGAATGGCCCACTTTCGAGTGAGGCATAATTAGTGAGCACGCAAATACGAGACAAATCCGGGGTCGGTTTTACGCCAGATCTGTGGTGAAACCTACATGCCTGTTGTCCGGTACACAGCTCCTTAACCAGCTGGGTTATCAGTGCAGGCAATGCGGCAGAATGCGCGCCGGCTGTGATCACGAATTTCTGCAACAATTACAACCACGTAAGCAAACGCATGTGCTTTTGGATGGCTTACCGTGCGTAAAAAGTAACAGCAATAAGTCTACATCAAACACTACACTGGCAACCCGCAGCTGTGGCGTCATCCTATCCATGACGAAAGTCTCGACGGAGCACGACTCACCTATCATGTCATTGAATAGCCTGAACAGCTCGTGCAAAGGTGCAAAATGCCCCCCTTTGATGAAGGCATACATGACGGGTCACCCAATGCTCATGCCATCTGTCGCAAACAGCGTGTATAGCTCGTACCTACACATTGTACGTCAGATGCTCAAAAGCAATCTACTCAAGACGGTTCGTGCCGTGCATAGCACCAGCAATTACGACATCCGAGGACGACGCTTAACGTAGTTCGCTGCATGCAGGAAAAACATAAGTAGCTAAAACTACTACCGTCCTGTTACACAGACGGTACATGGCAAAATTCGCAGTTTGACTAGAACTGACGACAAATAGTCAAGGAGTCCAAAAAATCCACTTATTTAAAAGTGAGAACCCGCACTTAACGCGATAGTTTTAGAAATCCTGAATAGTCAGCACCTTAAAGTGATTTGCGGCGTATTGGAAAACCTCCGATAACAGAGTCCAATACTTCACGAGAGAATTGCTTTCCTTTAATTCATCAGTCGTTACGCGCCGGATGATGGGAAACTCATCAAAATGAAGCTTGCCAAGTACGTATTTCTGCTCCAAGTGTTAGAACGTAACCGTCAAGCAGTCGTTATATCTGCGAACAGCACAGCTTGGGCAGTCGATCACCAACATATAACAATACACTTACCAGCTGTGATGAATACCGCGGATTTGGTGCGGTCTAAAGGGATGCCTACCGCAACACTGAAAGGCCTTTTCATACGAAAGTCTAGAAGTGCAGCTTCCTTGAATTCATATTGACGGAAACAACAAAAGTATTGGCTTGTTCGCTGAGCTGGGCAATTTGATTGCAAACGTTTCATCACCAATCGAGGTGACATCATCAGTGCGTTATTGTGGAGCGTAATAGTGCGTAGCGGTGGGTTGGTGGTTGTGCACAAGCACAAGCACCAACCCACCGCTACGCACTATTACGCTCCACAATAACGCACTGATGATGTCACCTCGATTGGTGATGAAACGTTTGCAATCAAATTGCCCAGCTCAGCGAACAAGCCAACGACCACCATCTACGATACCTGAGCTACCAACATTTTCCTCTATAGAAAACAAAAGTATTGTTTATATACTGTTTGAGAGGATTTTCAAATGCACTGGTGTATAAAAACGTGGAAGAAAGTCTTCCCCCAAAAATCACACACTGCCTACTCAGGCGAATCGTGCTTAGCCATTGCAGCAAATAGAAACACGAATCCCATGCTTATGGATTGCTTTGAGTAGGCTTAAACAATTTTAAACAACACCGCGACCACAGGAATGGATTTTAAGGGTTCGAAGGAACACCCTTCAACGCTAAAGCTTTGTGTAAATATTTCATCCCCCCAAACTATGTTTTCAGAGAAATTTGGAGTGATCTCCCGAGGGTCAGCCAAAGCGGGTTGTAGTATTGTTCATGTAGACTTGAGATTAATTCCAAATCAAATACAGAAGAAAAACACATAAATAAACCAGCACTTTCCACAAATCCTTTGACCGCCTTAACGGAAACACCATGCTGAATTTTTGTCAGCCTTTTGAAAATGAATTTCGTGCCCATGGTGTATCATGAGGACGAAACGAAAAGATCTTGGGATTTTGAATAAATAAATAAATAAATAATAAATGGAAATAAATAAATAAAAGCTTGTTGAAGATTCCTGCGTTCGAACTATGGTTTCAGAGAAATTTGTGGTAAGCGTCGAAGGATCTTTTGCACGTGCAAACGTAAAACGGAACAGCCATTCATGATCTGTAAAAGAAAAGTTTTCTATTGATGGGGCAGGCGTTCTGCCAAACAAAGCCAAGGAATTTGCCACAGCTCTTAAATTTTTCCTTTTGTATAATGTGCAGCAAGCGCTGTCGGGCACAAGGCGAGGTTTTATCCTCATCGGTGTACTGGCTCCTTGGTAGTTCTATTGTTAAATGTGGTGGTCTCATAGGCAGGACAAATAGACAGTACAATACGGTGACAAATGCTTTCAAGTCCTGACACGAAGTTTGCATACTGAGGCGGTCTTCTTGGCGCATGTCACACGCCAGTTTGGAAAAACGTGGGGATATGTTGAAATTCGGGTAAATCATCAAATTGGGCATGGCAACAGCGGCACCGTCGTCCCGAAGCAGTACTTGAGTTTATTGACAGCCAAGCACATAAACATCTTAGGCGGTTGGAATTTGCCGAAAAATTGCGACAAGCTAAGATCAGTATGGATCAAGGATACTCTTTAGTTCATCAGTTGCGCGGTGTGATTCATCGCCGCCATCCAACCAAGGCGACAAGATAGCCGTATCTACACTGAGGACTCAAAATAGAAAAACGTGTCCTAAAGATCTGCTAGAATGCACCATGGTGCAAAGTAGTCTGTGACCCAAAGCAGCGGGTAGCCGAAAGTAGCCGCAATTTCCAGCCGCTGTAAAAATGCGACACTGCCGCATTTAAAAAACGGCAATGATTATTCAGGTGTAGCTAGAAGGTATCTGGTCGATGTTAACAAGTGCGTGCATATGTGAATATGACAGGCTTTCACCAGCTTAATTGTACGCAACTAATGTAATTCGGAGCATGGTGGGAGAATGGCTGCTTTGCAAGGGGAGGTGACATACCACACATAATAGCTGAGTCTCCATTAGCAGTTTTTATTGGGCTATGAATGATGTTGTGACTTCACTGGAGGATTTCCCGGGATATATTGCACAGACAAAAAGGCTCAACTCAGTGGCGCAGGGGTCCGATAATAGTTGATGCCACTTTATTTTTTACTCCTCTATTCCAGATGGCAGAGCATGAGGCTCAGCATAGAGTAAAGAATGTTTCGGGGGCCTATGCAGTTGAACGGAGGGTTGTCAACCGTGTGGTCTTCCGCAATATCTGGAAACTGAGACGCGGAAAATAGTGAATCCCGTCCGGACAGGGCTGGTTAATGTGCAGCTTGGTAGTGCTCAAAGAATTTGATCAGGAAGGACAACTGTAGATAGGTAGGCAAGGCGCAAAACGATGTCGGATTACGGGGATTCACAGTCCGTAAATCATTTGTATAAGAAGCATGGGGATAAATGTACTGTGGTAATGTGTGTTGCCTGAATGTTGGTTGAAGGATATTCGTTCACTGGCCAAGAGATGGAATAAACCTTCAGCTAGATCGTCATCACCACCAGAGACAGCTAGATTGTATCAGGGGTGGCTGTCTCAGTATCTCCCCATTCGGTTAATATAGATATGATTTTAAAAAGTGACGATGGGTTGCCATACTTCGGTATGAACGGTGAGTCAGATGAGAACCCCACCTATATAACAGATGCGGAATAAAACCTCGGAGCAGCTTGAGATCGCGGGCAACTGTCGACATTTGCGTGTGATGTGTAAGCATTTTTTACATAACCATATGCTTAGGATCACAAAAGCCTTGGTTTATAAACACGAGCGTGGGAGCCGGTCACTCTACCAGAATGGAGCCCCTAATTGATGAGGCTGTTATTGCGGTTGAATATGGGATGTTTTCAAGCCATGATGAGGACAACAAAGCTGTGAATTGCACTGAGCCATGCAGCATAAGTACCGGGAAGCAGAAATGGATTGGAGCGAGGAATCAGTGCCCCAAATGAGCACAAGTGAATCCGAGTACCCAACTACTCACTAGATTGTCAAGGTTGAGGACGCATGAAGTTCTTGAATACACTTGATCTCACGAGTGACTTGTACACGTTGTTTTTTGGCCAATAGTGCATTTGGTCACTGAGTTTTGCAACCGAACCATTGACCTACATATGGATCCCTCACGGTTACCAGTGAGACTAACAAGTATTGAGCTTTCCTTTATAAGAGTAAGACTCCAGCTTCAGCACTGATACTGATCGAGCATTTAGACAACGGGGTTTATTAGGCAATCGGTTAGTTAGCCTCCACATCTTTGTTGAATTATGTTTTCAGTGATATTGCTGAATGTACACACGAGTTGTAGTTCCGTACACATTTCTTCTTCCGGGAAGCTTTTCGGATGAAAGTGCCTTACTGAAAACTAAAATTGGACTGACACAAAATAGCGTCTGTACCGCTGCAACCAATAAACAAAAACACAATTCGTCGATGACGGTTGTGCGTTTCTCAGACGTAGGCGTGGCAAGCGAACGACATGTATGAGTGTGAAGGACCTTCATTGAGCCTTTATGTATAGTTGGGGCCTTTTATTATGTGGTTCGAACAGGTACAAACCTAGTTGTTACATTGTTAGCCAATGTAACCCACAACATAAAAACATTTGAGCATGCAGTAACTTCACTGGCCGTGGGATTTAACTATCATGCATGTTTTGGGCCTCACAAACAGCGTCGTGCATAGGCGGGAGCAAATTAGTTGCGACAAGTAACCAAGGTAGGCAACAACAACAAATATGGGGGGTGGACTAGCATCGCTGGCCATCGGATTAGCTATCACCTTAAGCTGAGGTCTCCATCCCCGCCGCACATAGTAAAGGCCCGGCAATCTTGATAAGTACCCGAGGAAAGTGGAAACGCGCACGGCTATCATGATGAATCCAGCTGGATGATGCCAAGGTTTCTAGCGAGAAAGAACACTCACTAGGATTTGGTGATCGCATCCATGTATCTGGAAACGTTGCATTATCATCTGACCAGTTACACATGTCGGCGATTGAAGGTTGTTCATACAGGTGCGTATTATCATCAACGCCGCCCCATGCGTCAAGTAATATTTTGAACGCGTAGCAAACTTCCCAATATACCTGTTGTGCCGAACTTTGATGAATAAACTCATCCCATTGGTTTCTTTGGCTAGTGTAATGCATACAAACGTTATTCGACTATCCACCTTGGTGAAATTAACACGAGCTATGTCGTAGATGATGTCTCTCATTCGGAGAACGCCGCGGAACGTTAAAAATAGGCTCATTTTTTATTGGATCCTCTGATTTGGCAAGCTATAATTGGACAGTTACCTTTGGCGGATGGAAAGGCCACCAGAAAAAATTCTATGTATTATATTCCTTATTGTATAGAACGGAAAGGCCCCTGACTGCTGAGAGCTACAAGTCACTTCGCGTTGTTGAAGTGGTACGCGTCTTTGCCAGCCCGCTTGTCAGACGTCTGGGAGCACTTACGGCCTTGCACCAAAAACTATTATTAAGCCATCATAGATCCACATTTCTCTGTCATTTTCAACAAAATGATATTGCAGACTCGGGGGGCTGTGGCTTCAAAGGCCCCAAAACGAGGGGAGATGCACACGTGGTCATTCGGCAGATTGCCTCTAGATTGTATCCGTCGACCTCCACAACTGCCCTCCAGTCAAATCACCAACACGCAGGTATCTGACATTCTCGTCCGAACAGCCCAACGTGCCGAAGCATCTTCTGTTTGTTGTTCTCCGGACTGTCCGACGAGTGCCATCACCTTTGCAAACAACCGTTAGCGCCTAACAGACGATAATTCGTCATGATATTGAAACGGACCCCATGGAAAGTTTGTAGACAGCGTACGTTCTGGTGAAATACAGCCCAGAATCAAGAGATGTAGCGTCGGTCCGCGCAGTTCCGTATTTTCAGGTCGCGCAGGCATCTCTGTACCAGTGATACGATGAAAAGCAAACTCAAAATGCAGCGTCGCTTGAACAAGCAGTACGGTAAAAATGTGTCTCGGGTGCTGGGAATGCCCACTACAAAAACAAGGGTGTTATTTTCCACGTCCGTCCCCCTGACAGCCTTAGGGGCATGAAGGTGGTGAAGAATTCACGGATTCACGGATTGATACACAGGATCGAGGCTTTTGCCCAAGTTTCCCGGGTCGGTTTTGTTCTTGTCGGTCAGCGGTTGTCGTTCACCTGAAAGGCACAATTGAAAAAAGGATGTATCACTGGTCTTTATGTTCTCAGCGCGGGGCAGTATGCTTGCCAGTGCGAGGATTCGCATAAACAAATGTCTAATGGTGCGTTGAAACTGGGTTCTAGAAGGAGCGCGGACAACCGTCGGAGGAAGGTCACTTCTCTCACCTACTACCCGAAATGAGAAGAAATTTTGTCTGATGAATGTGTGCTCTGAGCTTGAAAATTTTCCTACTATGCCCTCGCCGTGTGTTCGCTGGGTCAACGTTGAAAAACCTGCTTGCCAAGCTTTGTTCAAACAGAGTATAAGTAAGAGTTAGGTCCCCTCGGAGACGACGCTCAATGACGGTGACGTCTTTCGTGCGTCCTGAGTAGACAACTTGGTTGGCGTGCTCCAGGAGCGGTTTGACGTAGGCCCCATAGAGCATTTGGAAGTCCATGCGAGTAATACGGATAAGGTGCGTCGGATCATCCGTAAAATAGCGAATGCCTTTCGGGCCGATTTCTCATGATGCAATGAGAAAGATAAGCTTGAGGAGACCCAGATACCCGAATCCTATTTGGCATCCATCCTCATGATGTTTTCTGGTCACTTTTCACCATGCATAACAAAGGTATTCGCTGAATCCCCTCCAAACGACATATGGACGCACTTTTCATCATTCAGAGGAAGGTGCCAGTCCAACGATTACTGCTTTGCAGCGTCTACATCCATTTGGAGGGCACTGGCATTGGAACTCCAGGATTTCAAGTCGTCCGCAAAAAGTAGACATGAACTTACAAAAACATCTGTGAGGTCGTTGACGTAGATCAGAAACAAGAGTGGTCCCAGGACGGAGCCTTGAGGAACTCCAATGGAGACCGGCGCTGAAGAAGAGTAGGTCGAGCCTATTCTCACTCGGAATGATCTGTCTGATAGGAACGCCTTGATCCAGTGAAAAATTTTCCCTTGAATCCCGCAAGGCTCGAGTTTCTGGAGCAGCGGGACGTGCGGGACCCTATCAAATGCCTTTGAGAATTCAAAAAATATGGCACGCGATATGAGTCCTTCGTTCATAGCTTGGGCTAAGCTGTCCATAAACACTAGCATGTTTGTCACGCAAGGGTGGTTTGGGAGAAATCCGTGTTGAGCTGGAGATGTCAGGTTGCTGGAAGTAAGGTAATCTAGGATAGCTAGCTTCAGAATGCGTTCCATCGCCTTGCACGGCACGCTAGTGAGGGCCTATAGCCGACAGGCGATAGTCGGACACCAGTTTTGTGGATTAGCTTGACAATCGCTTCCTTCCATGCAGAAGGACACCACGGCGAAGCATTTCGATTACCGTTCACATTAGAGCCGCTTATTTTTCACAAAAGGGCATATCGTCTGACATTCGATTGCCATGCTATCTGTGATCTGGTAGGTGTGACTCCTGGGAAAGGTAGGAACAACTTTGTTTGCTGTGCGGCATATATCGCCGCGGTGTTCCTCTAACGTCAACACGAGAACCCGTCGCCCACACGAAGCTTCGCTAGGGCCAATGGCATATCAACTACCACAAAAAATAATCTTCCACTTGCGCAAGAAACCCGGTGGACAATCCCGGCGGCGGATGTAGATGTCTTAAGAGATGAGGACCTCGCAGGTTTCACTGGCTACAAATTATGGAACCCCACACCACAGTGTTCCATATTTCAGGAGACCAATACATGTGCCCAGCTCTTCTTCGGCCAGCAGTTGGCCACACTTCGTGATTGTCAGGAACATGGTAGGAGATGACTGACTAATGGTCACGCAGCCCTCTTTATTAAAACCAGACCGGACAACCGGTGCTTCGCGTTTGTCGCACAGAACCGTGTTTAATTGACCTACATGACAGCTATCCCCGCTCCAGCGCCTGCTACCGGAAAAGGCTCACTGACAAGGAACACCATAGGTTCACCTCAAACGAGCGATTATGTGTGACTACGGCTGCTTTGCTTTGTCACGGGTAGTTTGCCCGTGGTTTTCAACATGACGGCACGGACTTTCGGTCAGAGAGAAACAACCCGTTTCCCTCGTGACCTCCGGGTTTGGTCGCT